AAATTGGAGCACCGCAATGGACCCTTTTCTTTCTCCCTTTGGAGTACAAAATTGGTCCCCTACGATGCACATTGTCATGCCCTAGAACATTGTCAAATATCCCGTGGCGTGCTCTACAAAAGAAAACACGTGGTGGTTCCAACATGCAAGAGGTAGAGTGAACTAATTAAGGAAGCATTGGTCCAATTAACTCGTCGAGAGTACAGGAGAAAGGAAACAAGTACCAAGAGGTAGAGTGAACTAATTAAGAAGATGACGATGATAATGGTGATAATAATAAAAATAACTGTGAAATAACATTATGCTCGTCTGATTCGATAGTCATAAAAAATCTCCTACCTTTTTAGAATTTTTTTACCACACCATCATTGGATTTAGGATACGAATTTTGAATCTCGCCGTCTTTATTCATGATTCATAAGTGTCATTTCAAGCATAAATTGACTAAATTAATTTGCACAAATTTAATGCTAATTTAATGAATAGAATGGTTTTTTTTTTAAAAGGCCATGATGGCTCCAAAGAATCTAAGCCACGGTAACTAGAAGTGTAGGCACACTAACACAGAGCAACATGGTGGTGTTTGTCTTTGACTCTTGATCCGTTCGCATGAGCATTACGTTATCTGCACATCATCAGCTGCCCTTTCCACTAAATAAAACCCAAGGCGCAAACGGACAAAAGCCACCCCCGCTTTATGCGTTAATAATAAATGTTGATTAGTTTTAAAGACTTTTCAAATATTTGGATTAAAAGACATGCCACCTTCATTACCATCAGATTAGTGTTTAATCAACTTGGCGCAGCCAATTTCGAGGCCGGCGGTAGGAAAGGATACCGCATAAAATCCACTCCCATAATAAATTACGTACTTGTAATTAAGCTAATCTTTTACCAATCAACCCTTAATACGCAAAAATGAATCAGAACAGCGCGACCGCAGTGTCATCCACCACTGACTGTTATGCTGATCCAACGGCTGGTGCTCTTTGAATTAATGCACATTTGTCCTATTAATTGTACGAGAGACTAAAAGAATCCAACCGGCTGACCATCAACGGCAATTAAGAGATAGACACCGAAAGGCGCAAAAAGCTGGTGTCTTTGCAGTTTTAGTCCCCTGAATTTTGAGGCAGTTTCGTCTTAGTCTCATATGTTTAAGCTTTAATCTTTGATCACCCCGTCCAAATTGGTCAACAACTTCACCCCTTTGAACCCTTTTGGTGCTGTTACTTGTTATTGGAAACAATCTTAATTGTATTTAACCAGCATTTAGTTAAGAGCTAAGGGACTAGAACAAATTTAAGAGGATGATTGAAGTGTGATTAGGGTTGAGATTTCAAGAATTAAATGTTTTGGATTTAAATTCCCTTAATTCTTATCCCTCTTCTCCTAAAAATAATTAAAATAAAATGGGATAGGGTACAAAATATTACAGGTGGAATATGTGAATGAATTTGTTACCTTAGATGAATTGATGATGGCATTGATTTGAAAACTAGATACTTAGGTTTTGATCATTATATATATATATGAAGGTTCAATTGATTTACTTATAGCTCGTAATGAATTGATTTAAAGTTAAATCTCATTGAAATTTTCGCGTCCTTTTTTTTGTGCTTTAAATTTTAACATTTGTAATTGACGTGCTTAGGCACCCATGCTATTAGTTTGCACCGGTGGTTGCTTTGTAGCCGAGCAATGCGAAGGCTTCCTTATTATTATTAAAAAGAAAAATAAAAACCGTTACCAGTGAAACTTGAGTGGAATTAAATTGAGAATATTTATAGAGAGAGGACCAAAGGTGAAACTTTGCTGCTGGTCCTGTCTTCCACCGCGCTTCATCAGAGTTGAGTAGTCGAGTCCACTTCTCTTTAATGTGTGTACGTGTACAAGTTGCAGAGTAGTAGCTGACGATAACCCAAGGACTTGTAATACGAAAAGTCAACTATTTTGGCCTTCGGGAAGGTCTGGAAATAGCTTCTCGTGAAGCCAACCGAACAAAGATGTAAAATATTCAACAGTATTCTTCATCTGCTTTCATTGATAGTAGGAAAAATCTTTTGAGCATGTTCACACCTTTTTGTCTGATGAATTTCATTTTCAGTTTTCTGCGGTCACACCCATAAAGGGATTTTTGAAGATTCATCAGCGCAGAACTTTCTGCAAATTTTTCTGGGAGAAGAAGAAAAGGTTCGCAAGAAGGATCAGAGTTTTGGAAAGGTTGTTGTTAATAATTTATGGGCTCTTGCTTCAGTGCTCGGATTAAGGCCGAGAGTCCTCTGCATGCTGGTAATTCAATACATGCAACTGTTCTCATTTGTTATTTCAAGACTCAATTTTTGGAAATGTTTTCGGGAAATTTTAATTAGTTGTTCCACCTTGTTGCTTGGCCTTCTTTAGCAAACATATGCTGCTTGCTTTGGCACAGGTTGGAATATAATCTATGCATACTAGTTTCATAGGTCCTCCAAGTAGGATTGCTATACTGTCTTTGATCAATAGTTCTCTTTTTGGATAGACCCCTTTGGTTCCGTTCCTTTGCAAAGAAAAAGAGATAAACGTTCTAGAATGTCATGTTCTCTTTGTCTGGAAAACTTTACATGGAAACCACCATATGGGTGATAGCTAGTTTGATATCTCAACAATTCATTTGCAACTTATGATATTGTGGTCGTTCTGCTACTAAAATCAAAATCTGATAGACCAAATTGGATCGTCTCGGACCTTCCATAGTTATCTTTACAAATCACAGGTCTGAATCATGGCTTTGAAGTATGAAGCTCAGTCAACACCCTTGGCTTATCACGAATAAACCAAACCAGATGAAAGAAGTGGCTAGACTACAAGAGTAATGACCTGAAATTAAAGGGCACTTAATTAATGTTTCTGAGCATACATAGAAATCTTCAATTGTTTTATGAATGTTAACAGGAATCATATGCAAAGCAATATCAGGTCTTTTGCTTCAACGAAAAGCAAATCACCTAGACATGCATTTTTAATGCTGTTCCATCCTTTTTTTTTCCTTCGAGGATTAGACGCTCTTGATGTAAAGGAAATTAGGCAGTAGGATGTTCAGTTGAAGCCCAATAAATGAACTTAATTTGTTTGCAGGAGCAAACTCAAGATATGTCAGCAGTGATGGAAGAGACTCAAGCAGCAGGCTCTCATTTGCCTCAGTGCCACAGACCCCTCGCAGTGAGAGTGAAATTTTGGAATCATCAAATCTGAGGAGTTTTGGGTTTAATGATCTAAAAACAGCCACTAGGAACTTCCGCCCAGATAGCGTGTTGGGAGAAGGCGGATTTGGTTGTGTTTTTAAGGGGTGGGTTGATCAGCATAGCTGTAAGGCTGCTAAGCCAGGAACTGGATTGGTTATTGCTGTGAAGAGACTGAACCAAGAAGGTCTACAGGGCCACAAGGAATGGTTGGTGAGTATGACTTCACCTGTTATTTACAGAATTCATACCATGCAAAAAGTACTGACATATATCACACGTGGTCAAAACTTGTAATTGTCATATTCTGAAATCTCTTAGCTATGCTGATAATTTTGTTTCTTCACCTGAATCACAGACAGAAATCAATTATCTTGGACAGCTACATCATCCTAATCTTGTGAAATTGGTTGGATACTGCTTAGAAGACGAACACAGACTTTTGGTTTACGAATTCATGCCCAGGGGGAGCATGGAAAATCATCTTTTCAGGAGTGAGTTCTTGAACTCTGTAGCAAGTCTACCATCTTCCGACACAATGCACTTCTGTTTATCACAATGACATAATGTCTTGTGTATGTTTTGAACAGGGAGTTCTTACTTCCAACCACCATCTTGGAACCTTCGAATGAAGGTTGCTTATGGCGCTGCAAAGGGGCTAGCATATCTTCACAGCCCAGAAGCCAAAGTTATATACCGTGATTTTAAGTCCTCAAATATCTTGCTTGATTCGGTATGTATGTTACTCAAGTTTCCAATTGTTGAATGTCTTACTCTTTGGATTTCAGCTTTACTTGTGTCTCACTGTCACTTATGCATCTTGTTGATGAACTGAATCCTGACAGAATTATAATGCGAAGCTCTCTGATTTTGGGCTTGCAAAGGATGGGCCAATGGATGGTAAAAGCCATGTGTCTACGCGAGTCATGGGGACGTATGGTTATGCCGCTCCAGAGTATATGGTCACAGGTATTACATCTTGTTAAAGTGCTCATAATATTGGAAGCTTCTCTGAATCTGCTGCCTGCTTTTCTTATTATATTATCTCTTTGGTGTCCGATGTTGTATACTGTTCAGCTTAGTCAGGTTGCACGTTTCTGATTGTTGCGATTTCTTACTCAGGCCAAGTTAAACTTAAAGTGACTGGAATGCTTCTTTTTCCATCACCCCCTCCTCCTCTTCTATTATTAAGAAAAGAACCCCTTAACTAAGAAATGGTCCCTTATATTGTCCTGTAGTTTGCATCCCTTGGTGGAGGTGAGGTCAACTCTATTACTATTCCAAGTCCAAATGTAGTTTCCATTGGGTGGCTTTGCCTTAAAACATCTCCAGTGATGAAATTGTATAGCATTTCTTATTGTCTTGGGATTTGTTCAGGCTTCGTTATCACATATTTGTGATGGATTCACCATTTTGAGATGAGTGCAGGATTTTTGTGAATCAAAGCATCAAGTCTTGTGAAAAGCTCTGGTCTGTGTGTGGAACCGCCTAATATTTCCTTTAAATAATAAGTCCTTTTTGTATCCTAGTCTTGCTGAAAAGTCCCAAGCTTCATTCTTCTCCTGCTACTGCAACATTATCATCTCCCTTCTTCCAGTTCTCTCTCAGTTTTCTATTTACTCGTGCCATTGCACCTAGTTAGGAACGTTGATTGTCAACGTTTTTCAGACTGTCAAATGTACACACATCGAATCCTTGCTAAATCGACATGCAGCTTTTATAAGCTGTAAATCATTCTTCTATCTTTGTGCTGAGCCTGCATTTGTTCTGTTTCTGAAGGCCATCTGACTGCCAAGAGTGACGTGTATAGTTTTGGGGTGGTTCTCCTTGAAATGCTGACGGGCCGTAGGGTGATAGATAAGAACCGGCCTCCTGGAGAGCACAATCTTATCGAATGGGCCAAGCCTTACCTGGCCAGCAAACGCAGAATTTTCCAAGTTATAGATGCCAGAATAGAAGGGCAATATTCGTTAGGTGGAGCTATAAAAGCTGCAAACCTTGCAGTCAAATGCCTTGCAACAGAACCCAAGTACAGGCCAAACATGGACGAGGTGGTAAAAGCATTAGAGCAGCTTCAGGACTCGGACAGTGGCAGTGTTAAACATGAGGTGGTTCGCAAGCATCATAAAACATGTTCAAACGAGGCATCTAACAGAAAGGCTGCATCATGTCCAAGACGATCCCCTTCCCCCATGGTTGCTTGAATGTGGATTTTGTTTGTAAAATTTTCAATTTTACCAACTACTCTAAGCGAGAGATACGAAGAGCAGACGATGCAAGGAAGCCAGGCCTCCATGGAATCGGCCTTGTGCTGCCCCATCCCATCCTCTTGCATTGTACAGTTCATATCTCAATCTGTCCTGTGACTCTGCATCAATCCTATTCCGGCAAGATGTTAAATAGATTTTGTTGTATCTAGGCATGATTGTATGACAGCCAATGGGAAAATGATTCCCATGTTTATATCATATTTATAGCCTTGTTATCCCATATGTTGTACGATGCATTCTACTTTGATCTCATGCAAATTTTTCATTTTTGTGGTAGATTAGCATAAGAAGTTGGGTGTACAGCCATCGACATCATTAAAGGATTCATCTTCCTGACGTTCAGGATTTTTATTTTAATCTGCCTGAGCTTTTAGGATGTATTTGTAGGATTCTTGGTGTAGAACTTTTGAGGGTAAATACTAGAAAGCCAAGCAACGGAAGGAGAATCCTGGCCGCTGCTACTGTACTACCAGTCATATAGCCTACACGAAGCCACAAAACTTTTTTTGAGAGGAGGAACTTTAGTATGTATAAAACTTATGTGTATAACTTAAAATACTAGTGCTACTTTTTTTTTTTTTTTTATGGGAACAAAAGTTTATTTAAAAAAAGTTATATATACATATATTTTTTGAATTTTAATTTTTTTTTAAGGAAAAGACTAATTTTCTAGAATTTGAGGGACGGTAGCATTAGTGATTTTGTTACGTTGATATTACGTGTCTATAGACATAATCAAAAAGTTATCATAATTTGGATGGATCTATTATTGATAAAAAAAAAAGTACAAATCTTCCATACTGTTAAACTCCATGTTATTCTTTAAATATAAATGGGGAGAAGCCAGAAGGGAAAAATAAATAAATAAAAAGGAGAAAGAGAAATAACCTTAAAAAAAATTCAAAATAAAAATGTCTTCAAAATTCTCAAAATTCAACGGATAGTCAAACAGGGCTATTTTTGTCTTTTTAAAAAAACCGATGAGTCTTTATTTCTTTTTGGTCTTTAATAAATCCAGAATGTGAGGTTTAAGGCATAGCCTGGGTTTATAGTGTCATCTCGGCCCTGGTGTCCCTCCCTCGCAGAGTCTCTCGATCCATTCATCCAGTCTCTCGAAGCATGTCAATGGCGATATTTCAGCACGTGGTCACAGCACCCTTTGCACGCACCGTAAGGTTCCGTACCCTGACTGTCGCCTGTACCACCGTAACTTTACCTTCTCTCAAGAAGAAGGCCGAGGCATCATCAAAAGTGGACTTGCAGTCGCAGGTTCTCCTCGGCATGTCTGAGCAAGAACTTCAACAAGTTGCCGTCGATTTCGGTCAGGTATAGTTTTAGTGGGTTTAGCCTAATAGCATAAATGGACCAATCAATTTTCCATCTTCAGTTGCTTTTCTGGAAATATGAAATTCTTGTTGTAACTAGTAAGTACTTGTCATTTTAGGAACGCTACAGAGGTAAACAATTGCACCATTTACTGTATAAAAGAAAAGTTAAAGAAATTCAAGACTTTAGTCAAGGTGAGTAATTTTATTTTATTTTTCCTAATCTTGCCTAATTTTATTCAACTTTAATTGGTAATTTTTTTGGGGTAATTTTTTGGATGAAAAGTGCCATTGGCATTCAGGAATGAGTTGCAGGAAGCAGGATGGAGAGTTGGGAGGTCACCAGTATATAAGACTGTTACGGCAGCTGATGGCACCATTAAGGTAGTTTCTTGACAAAACTGGCTTGGCTCTTGGTGTTGGTTGAGCTAATAATATATATCTAAACAAGATTCTAGTTTGAATGGACATATACATATACATATACATATACATATATGTTAGGTTCCCCTTCATGAGTAAATGTTATGTCCCACGTTGGTCCGAGAGATGGAGAAAGAGCGGTTAATATGTAAGTAAGGACCCAAGACCTACTGACTTAGTTTTTAGGTCAAAATTGGGTTCCTGACTTACATATTGGGCTCTTTGGTGGACTCTCTCGATGTTTTCCCCTATCAAATAGGTATCAGAGCTTCAGGTTGTGAAACTGGCCTACTCATAAGCAAGTGGATTCTTCTTGGAGTTGGACCGGTGAAAAATTCTCTTTTTGGTGGTGGATCGAAATACTAAGAAGTTTGGCTAGTGTTGAACCAGGTGCGCCATGGGTTTGGCAAGGGGTCCGGTTGGTGTGAGATGGAGCCAAGGATTGGCAGAGGTCTAAAAAAAAAAATCCAGTTTGGATGTTGAAGAAGAGTGGGTCCATGTTTGAGAGAAGAGGTGACCTTAGGTGATAAGGTGGGCTTGCGTTGAGTATTAAAGTGGGCTCGAAGGAGGGCTTGTAAATTTGGATTTAATGTGGGAGTTACTCATGAATGGGGAGATTTGTTAGGTTCATGAATAAAGGGTTATGTTTCACATTGGTCCGAGAGATGGAGAAAGAGCGGTTAATAAGTAAGTAAGGATCCAAGACCTAATGGCTTAAGCTTTTAGGTCAAAATTGGCTTAAGAGCGGTTAATATGTAAGTAAGGACCCAAGACCTAATGGCTTAAACTTTTAGGTCAAAATTGGGTTCCTGACTTACATATTGAGCTCTTTGGTAGACTCTCTCGAGATGTTTCCCCCTATCAATATATATGTATGTGTGTATGTACGTATATGTATATGTATATGTATGTCAGCATTGAGCATCCATGTAGGATTGTGTTAGATAAAGAGGAGGAAACCAAAGAGAAGATTATTTCTTATTTGGTAACAAGCATGTATTCATTGAGGACACTAGACTTCTACAAGAACTAGTTAATTCACCTGAAACCTGAAGCTTTGGAGAGTTGGCGAATTAAAATTGAAGAATGATTTGAATGATTTCCTTTTACAATAGAAAGTCTGGAGCTGTAAAGTGAAGCAAGTTATTTATTTTCTCAAGGAAATTTGGCATGAAGCTTGTTTGGGATGTGGGAGCACTCATTGTCTAGATTCTATTTTGGTTTGTAAGTTTGCTTCGGGTGAAATTTGAATCACAGTTTGTAATTGGGATCGCTGTAGGGTAGTATCAATATGGAGAAAACGAGTAAGGTTCACTGAAATTGCCATCAAAAGTTTAATTATGTCTCAGAGCTTGTGCCTTCTCTCAGATGACCTAGAGATCTCTGGGTCTCAGGCTCTCAGCATTTGTGAATCCCGTTGGCAAAAGAAGCAATCAAGGAATATTTTTAATTGTTTTTAGACTCGCTAGAATTGGCACTAAGATTACATGATTCAGGAACTTGCTTTGCATAGAACTTGGGTTTCCATTATTCATAGTGCTAAGTTTGGTGATAAACATCATGGTTGTCTCATGCATAATAATGTCATGTCCTAAGACTACAGGAGTGCATAATAATGTCATGGATAAGTTGCCTTTGCCATGACTCTCTGTTGCTCATTATATGTATAAACATGAAGCAAGAACATGCGCATATCCAGATTTAGTCCATCTCAATTCTTCCAAAGTGATAGATTTGGCTGTCTTTATATGTCTACTTTTTTATTATGTCTTGTGGTATCTTGTGACTTTATATGTCTACTGTCTCATTATATCTTGTGACTTTTTATTATTTCATCTTCCTAGTTACTGATAAAATTGGAGGACAACCGATTGGTTGAAACTGTTGGGATACCAGTGGAAGATGATAAAGGTTCAGTCAGGTTGACTGCATGTGTCTCATCCCAGGTTATTTTCTACTGCAAAAACGTTTAAATGTGGTGGTTTATATATCCATTTTTGGGATATCTATTTTAACATTGAGTACATAGTCCCTGTTGATTCCATTGTTAATCTTCTCCCTGTGTGAATTAGGTAGGCTGTCCATTGCGCTGTTCCTTTTGTGCCACTGGCAAGGGGGGATTTGCAAGAAACCTTAAGAGGCATGAAATTGTAGAGCAGGTATGTCTTACATCTGTTTGATGCTATTTTTGAAATTTACATCAGGTGACAGATGGGCTCTCTTTCACTTGGAGGTGCTGTGAGAAAAATTTCCCTGCCTCGTTACCTCCATCCTCAGGACTCATGGCATCTTTTTCTTATTAAATCAACCTAGGCTATTTATCCACTGCTGCGTCCCTTATTCCCTTAGTTAATCGTCCTTAGGATTCTCGTTGTACCCTTCTTTCCCCAAAAAGTCCTGTGAGTTTCCTTTGTTTACATGCCTGCTGTTTGTTTGTGAACATAAGTTTATACACTTCTGAACTACTGATGCTAAACTTTTGTCATTTTATTTAGTTGTGGATCCTGTTATGGTCTCTGGAAGCACTCAGTATGTGCTGCATTTAAGTAGTCCCATGATCATAAATGTGCAGGTGTTGGCAATAGAAGATGTTTTCAAGCACAGGGTTACAAATGTCGTGTTTATGGGAATGGGTGAGCCGATGTTGAACCTTAAAGAAGTTCTTGAAGCACACCGTTGCCTGAATAAGGTCCTCTATGCCTCTCCACTCTGAAAATTCAAATTGCTCCAAAATCTAACATAGGTGGTGTATAAACTGTGTAGCTAGTTTTTTTTTATGTGGATGTAAAGATTGTTCACATGCCATCCTTTGTTCAGGATATCCAAATTGGGCAGAGGATGATCACAATATCAACTGTTGGAGTTCCAAATACAATAAAAAAGCTGGCTTCTTACAAGCTTCAATCGACGTTGGCTATTAGGTAATGTCATTGCATATTCTGATTTCCGGACTGAAAAGGGATAGAAATGTTTCCTTGTGTGTTTGCACAATAGACCTTCAGGCATTGAACTGTTATATCACTGTTCAACACGTCCCTGATGGCTGTTCTATTCTGTTACAAGGAAAGGGGAAAAAAAGGGTGGAAGCCCTTTCTTTCTGCTTCTCTTAAAAGCAGTTTGACATAACTTCTAGATAAGTCCAACGAAGTTAGAAGATGTTGCTCTTTATGCTGTTCAATTCACTGGTCATCATGCTTAGGTATAAGGAAGTATATTTTGCTTCCTTGAGCTACAGTAGAAACCTGACATCAGATTGCACAAGTTTGTTTGAATTCATAGGTACAGGAATTATGGGCATTATTCCTGGTGGAGTTAATAATTCTGGTGATTGCCAAGCTTAGGCACGAACTCAAATAGTCTGAACTTTTGCTAATTTACCTTAATCTCCCCTGGTTTCCATCATTATCGTGGGCACGGGTCTAATATTTCACTAACTTCCTCTTCAATATTTGTCTGATGAATGTCGGGAATTATCAGGTTGGTTAGTGTGATTTAAGAACTTAGTGGAGGTTCTCGTAGTTACCTTAAAACTCAGGTAATATCATAATTTACCCGATGATTTTTCCAGATATCATTGCTGACCATCCTTAAAAACTAGTTGTTAAGCTGTGAAAGCCTAGAACATCTTTTCTTTAGCTAAGCTTACTTCAACTCTGATTCGTGATGTGTCATTTCCTTCACATTTTGTCCAGCTTACATGCTCCAAACCAGAAACTCCGCGAAAGTATAGTACCAAGTGCAAAGTCCTATCCTTTGGAAGCAATCATGAAGGATTGCAGGGACTATTTCCTTGAAACCAGTCGACGGGTGTCTTTTGAATACACACTTTTAGGTATTCCAGACTTCTGCGAGTAAAAGGTTTTCATGACTTCAATTGTTTGATAGGCATGCACAGAGGAAGTAACAGTAGTTTTGGCTTTTATTTGTTCTTGTGAAGCTGGAGTCAATGATACCATTGAGCATGCGTTAGAGTTAGCAGAAATGCTTCATGAATGGGGTCGTAGTTATCATGTCAACCTGATACCGTTTAATCCAGTTGAAGGATCTGATTACCAGCGTCCATATAAAAAATCAGTACGCATTTTATCTCCCTTCTTCTTTGGATGTTCAATTTGGACACTTTAGCTTTCCCAATTTAGTTCTTAATTATTTTTTCCTAGCAAGAGCGGGGTCAACTGATATAGTATAATAAATTTGGTTATGCAGATTCTTGCATTTGCAGCCGCTCTGGAGTCCCGTAAAATAACAGTCAGTATCCGGCAGACTCGAGGTCTTGATGCTAGTGCTGCATGTGGACAGCTGAGAAATCAGTTCCAAAAGAGCCCTTTGCTTACTGGTGCCGAGGACCAGCAATCAAACTCAGAGATTGCGGTTAGTTGTTGATCCAGGATTCACCTGTTGCTACCTTCTGCAAGTTAGGTGGAACAGCTGCTTCATGGGGGGTAAAGTCCTACTAGGTTAGCATCACACTAAGCTCTCGTGGCAATCAATGGATAACATCCCACAGGAGCAGAAAAGATTTTCATCTTAACAAGAGGATTATTCAGTGAAATTGAAGAAAGTTATGAAAAGCTGCAGATTTTATCAAATGCAGGCGACAATACTCGAGAGCTGAGAGGAATTGCAAATGGGGATGGAGGTCTTAAAGTACAACATGGTGTATATTTTTTCTTCAGGAAATGGTGGTCTACGACGATTTTGTGAACTTGCTGAAGTTCATTTAAGCTACGGCTACAGTTTCAATATTGCTAGTAAGAGAGAGATCACTTTTGAGCTCTTTCTAAAATTCTCAGCCATATGTAAAAGGAAAAATGAAGAGACATTTTACACCCTATAGAGACTATATACATGTCTTCTAATTCGCCTAATACATTGACCGCAATATTGAGAGATGCCAAACTTCTGTGGCAAAAATTGAATTACATGAGACAGTCTCTCCACCCTGCTTAAAGGCAGAAGGTAACTTCCGCGGTCCGCCAAAGGCTAGTCGCCTAAGAAAATCCCCCCGAGTCAAACTAATTGCCATGGAACAGGACTGAAAGTCTGAAACATCAGCCATATGCCTTTCTAGCAAATAAACTTCCATTCGTACTGTACAGCGGTCCTTCAAATAGGAGAGTACTTGAAGAGCAGAGGCATCGTCAGACTACTGCATTCTGCATGATGTAGAGGTGTCATTGTTTAGTATAATCGATTACTTCATCAGTAGTTAAATATTTCACAGACAAGCCCCTCGAAATGCAATCCCTGAAAGAAAGTCAACGAGTTATCTCTTTTCTTTGAATCCTTATAAGCGGTACCAACCATCTTAAACTTTTTACCTCAATCCTGTTGAACTGATTTTGTTTGGCACTACTTCGTCACCAATTTTGATGTAATTCTGTGCAAAATATAGGCAACTGATAAATTGAGAGTACATCAGTCAACAATGATTCTTCAGCTCACTACTACTACTAGTGTGTTATTTGAAGGTTCAGTTTGCTAAAACAAATGCTGAATTGATAAAGCAATGTTCAGGAAGAGAATAGTATCGTACACAAGAACAGGAACTAATCATTCAGGGGTGAGGCCAGAGACGGTGAGTGGTGACATAGGAAATGAAGAGAGAAGGAAGGATAGATAAAGAAAGCCAGAGCCGTCTGGAAGAGTCCAAGTGCGAACCTCATTTAACTCAATGTTCACGCGCATCTTTCCACTTCTTTGACGTTTTTACAACACTGCCCTTCAAATCCTTGCATTATGGATTAGGTTTTCAGCACTAGTGACTGTTCAGTTTTCACGCGCCTCTTTCCACTTCTTTGACGTTTCCGAGCGCCCCCCCTCAGTACTAGTAGTAGAGTCCACACTCCACAGGTTTCCGGCGCTCTTGTCGAATTTCACTTTCCGTTCATCGTCGCTTCAAAGAATCGAAAATATCAAAGTCATTGCAATTATTCTTGGTACTTTCTCTCTCATTGAAATTCTCTCAAACCAAAACATCTTCCTTAACCTCTCTTCTTCTCATTTTTTTCCTTTTTTTTTTTGGTTCATCTTTAATGTGTAAAAGTTTTGATCATTAACTCTGATGCTTTTAGTATGCTTTTAGTTAACTTATCTGATTTTCTTACTATGTGTTTGCCGCTGATTCTCTCCAGATTTTTTCTTCCACTTCGGTTCTCTGTAATTTCTTCAGGTAAGGCTTCTTTTTTCCTTTTTTTTAATCTTTGTATTTGTGTTGTTAACATGAATAGCCGAATATTTAATTTTGTTAGTATCAACACTTATTATTGTGCTCTGGAGAGTTTTTTTCCCGTTACTTATTGTAGTGTTTATGATTTTCCTGCTATTGTAGACATGTGTTCTTTCTTTTGGTGCTTTTCTTTTACTTGTTTCTATTTTCACTTTCTTGTAAATGATTAATTGTCATTGCTTATATTTTCTTTGATAAAAGTTGTTTTTGCAATCTATTGTAGGGAGCATTTGAAGTCCTTATATCGTCAAAGAAGTTGTTGCCAGGTAAAGTTCGGTTCTTTGTGTCGTAAATTTTCACTTTTCCGAAGTTATTCTAATTCTTGGTAGATTTAGTTAAGATATGTGCTCTACTTTGGGTTCTTATCCAATCTATTCTTCTAGTTTTCACGATTTGAAGAAATTTTTATTTGTTATGCCTGATAAAATCTTTACTCCTCTGCTTCATGGTTGCAATTTTTTTGCTCCAAACAATGTGATTTTGTATCTTGATTAGAAGATTATGATACTATAACGGTTCTTTACATTTCAGCTGCTGTTGTTTCATCATGTTGCTTTTGCTTGCTTTTCTTTCCAACTTGCATGGGGTAGCAGAGGCTATAGTTGATCTCGCGAGCAGGGGAACCACTTTGAGAGAAGGAAAAATTAATGAAATTGAAGGTGGGGTTACTTTGGAAGTTAGTTTATCGTATACATGATGAAAGGTTCACAACTCAATAAAGCTGTAGAAATACATGGAGAGGAGCTTTTAAACATATTTGTTGTTAATATTTGATTTTAGGTTAATGCTTTAAGCTGTTCTTTTATCTAAGAAAGTCATTGGTTCAGACAAAAGGTGTGCTTGATATAATTCATGACATGCTTCAAAGATTGGAGGCAAACTTCGGGGTTCATAAATTCATGACAGTTTGTTGTTATTTGTATGTGCTTATGTGGTTTAGCACATACGAAACTGCCTGTATGATGTGAAGTGGTGCACAGGAAGTGGCTGGGTCTGATTTACAGGTGAAACAAATTGGTCCTGTGCCAACAGACTCAACACAAAAGAAAGACAAAGAACTTACTCAAAATTATTTAAGAACTATGAAATCTTGTTTATCTTGTTTGCAAGAGGTTTGTTTTGAACTCTTTGTATGTTTATCATGCAGGGACCTAACACAAAAGAAAGACAAAGAACTTACTCAAAATTATTTAAGAACTATGAAATCTTGTTTATCTTGTTCGCAAGAGGTTTGTTTTGAACTCTTTGTATGTTTATCATGCAGGGGCCTACTTTAACCCAGATTTTAGCAACAGTGGTACGGCTTGCTGAAGGGTAGTGCTTGATTGTTATGCCATGTTACAACACGTGTAGCAAATAAACCACTATACAAAAGAAAGACAAAGAACTTACTCAAAATTATTTAAGAACTATGAAATCTTGTTTATCTTGTTCACAGGAGGTTTGTTTTAAACTCTTTGTATGTTTGTCATGCAGGGACCTGCTGTAACTCAGATTTCAGCAACGGCGGTAGGGCTTGCTGAGGGGTAGTGCTTGATTATTGTGCCATGTTACAACACGTGTAGCAAAGAAACCACTATACAAGTTTTTCAATAGCTGAGGTAGGTGATACTCAAGATTTTGAGTTTGTTACAATTCTAGCTAAATTTCCATGTAGTAATCTTGCCAAGTATGCTTTTCATTAGTGTCAGATTTTTAGCCTGAAACTTGTGAATAAGTTGTTTTCTCATTTCTCCCATGGAATAGTAAGAAATTTGAAAGATTGAAACTATTAATATATTGTTAATGATGAACTGTCATAGATGTTAAAATTGGTGGTTCAGACCATTGATGATAAAATACTTTACAGGTTTTCTTTCTTTTGAAAATTTAGATAGCATTGTGGCTACCTGAAAAGTCTCATTGATTACTTAAAATGTTTACAAGTCTTAGACTTTTGCATTTTTTTCCAATTAAAAAATAATCTGACAAAGATGGAGCTGACTTTGTTGGTAGTTGGTTAAAGCAACTTAGTTGAAGATTATGTTTTTGTAATAGTTAGTGTATGCACTACCAAGTCCTAATGGCTTTATGCTTAAATGATCAAATAAGTTTTCTATAGACTGTTTTATGTAAATTTAATAAAGTAGGAGAAGTGCAGCAACACTATCACTGTAATGGTACTAGATGGGAGGGGACAGGGATTTTAGAATAGGCAGATAAATAAAAATCTTACTCATTTCAAGTAAGATCATTATGCTTTAATTTCCATTTTATGCAGTTAAACTTTTTTGAACAGTTGAATTTTGGCAGACTGCTGTTAATTAAGCATTACATCCAGTTTCTTGATATTTAACTAATAAGTTTACTTCGTTTTTGCTTTCCATTCTATGTTTGTATGAGGAAATAATTTAATTTACAGAAGGGTTCATCAACTGCGTTGAACTTGTATATTGTTTGTTTGCTATGATGACTGGCCTTTACTAACAAAAAAGAAAGAAAGTTGACATGGGCATTGGATTTGGATTTGGTATCTTATCCTGGTCAGATAACAAAGACAGCTAGAAAAGAGGGCAAAAAATGTGAAAAAAGGATGTTGCCTGGGAGTTGAAGAGAGTGCAATTTCAGGATCTCAAGTTGCTGTAAAAACTTAATCAGCAAGAACATTCTTCCACGTGGGTTTTAGGAATGCTTAAAGTGATTACCTTCAAACTTAGATATTCATTTACATACTAGTCATTTGATGAGCCTTGGAGCTTTGTATGAGAAGCAAATGAGTGTTTAAAAGTTTAACACCTGACAGGAGAAATAACTGAAATACAAGTTCATTGTAAAACTAGACCAAAAAATTTGATGCCCAGCAAATTTACTAGCTAAAGTATTTCAAAGCTAAATTTCTCACAATTGTTACAGTGAACATCAATCTAATTTTCTATTAGAGAAACCTTTGTCACACCTAGTACTAAAACACAATCACTTTTAACAAAAACTGTTTACTGTTTTTGTTTGTAGAATTTTATGAACATAAGCATAAAAAAGGAAACATAAACGTTACCAAGCGACCCCTCAGTGATTGGCAGCAGCGAAATGTTGCTACTTCTGGCTCCCACCTCCCTCTTCTTTTTGGTTTTAGTCCGCAATCTGCAGTGCAGTAATGAGCTCCGAGAGAAACCCCAGGATAAGTCAAACATTTGGAGGAGAGTTAGAGTTTCTTAAAACCACGGCTGCCTTCAATATCCGGTTCAAACATTATTAGACTTCTAAACCCGAGTGTTGCTCACTGGACCGAAGCGGCCTGACTTATAAGTCATAACATGCTCCCTCAGCAGTCAGCACTCACACTATAAAGTTTAGGGCTTGGTTTATCACAGCAGAAGCAGGCAGATTCCTTGCTCTAGTTTTCGTTCAATCATCTTTCAAGAATCGTCGTTTTAACAGGTCAATTTAATTGTTATTCTCATTCAATTGGTTTCTGAAATTCCGGATTTCTGTTTTACTTATTCTTTTTGCTCTTGTAAAACTCCTGGTTGAATAATGACTGAGAGGTTTTGGGTTTCTATCTGAGACCAAGACTTGTAAAGCTCAGATCTTCCTACTAATCACAAGTTTTTTTGCGCCACCTGCCCTTTTATGATGTTGACTTTAATTTTTCTAAACATAAATATCATAAATTTTCCTCATCTGTTTTTACCTTTTCTTTTTCTTGGTCATAAATTGGCCCCCCAAATTGATTTTTGGCTGGTTTACAATTTCTTAAAAAATCATTAGCTCTAAGAAAAGCAATATTAGTTGACAGTATATATCTCTTTCTCCCTTTTTTTTTCCCTTTTTTGGGTTGTGAAGCATAAAAAAGGGACCCTTCTTTATAGGTGAAATGACATAAAATTCATAATATTGATGCATTTTGATTCTCAATTACTTTTTTTCCTAAAAAAGATGAAAATTTTCTTCATCTTTAATACTGCCTTTCAGCCTTTGGTGTTGCAATGTGCTAAATGTGCATAATGTAATGTGTAAGTAATAAATTTATTTTTTTAAAAAAAAAAAAGAGTTCCTCTTACTAAGCTTTCGAGTTTTGGCTGTTCTAGCATGAGTTTCAGAGCCGTATACGCTATACAGATAGGTGTATTATGGGATGATGTGAAATTTTAGAACTTGTCTTTACCATCGCTTGTTTAAACTGTCTGTTATGCTATGATAAAACTTTACTGAATATTTGTCGCTGAAAAGAAAAGTTTTTTATATGCTATACATTTTCCCTTGTTGTCATACTGAAATTTCAAACAAGTGTTTTACTTCTGAAAGAAGTTGGCATGTTTTGGCTTTTTTTTCAATTTATTTTGACACAATAAAGCTTATTCTCCACCCATTTTGTACGTTGACTGGGTTTTGTCATTGTATTTGCATGCCACAATTAGACTTTTTGCAATGAATGGTATTACACGCAATGGCATAAAGTGGATGCTGGCAATATCTCAGCAAATTGCATCCTACCCATTGTGGTATACCTATACAAGAAAGATTATTCTCTTATGTTTTCATCCTGCTTTGTTTGTTGGAATATGTGCCTCATATTTTTCGTTAAAAATGATTCAACTGGTTCCGTGATGACGTTGGATTGGTAACTGCTTTAGGGCCCTAATCATGAGGAGGTATAGTCCACCATATTACAGTCCTCCAAGGAGAGGATATGGAGGTCGACCTAGAAGCCCTCTAAGAAGGGGCTATGGTGGAGAGCGTGGTAGGCGTAAAGAGCAAAATCATGGAAGTCTTTTGGTTCGAAACATTCCTTTGGATTGCAGGTACTTAGTAGTGATCCTTACAGTCATGACATTGTCTTCTATTCTGTAGGAACCTGGAAGCTGTTTTGTTCTTTTAACAAAATTTGCATAATTGCAAACAGGCCAGAAGAACTTCGAGTTCCCTTTGAAAGATTTGGATTAGTCAGGGATGTCTACCTTCCAAAGGACTATTATACAGGGTAAGCTATATTCCTAATTTAATACATTCTTCTTAGTATGCATATAAAGATTTGTATACACTTGAACACAATGTGATTTTACATTTGATTTATTATACTCCCTTGCACTTGTGTCCCTATTCTGCACAGCTCGGTATAACATTTAGAAGAATGGAAGAAATGTCACACTAGTGTCATGATTATGCTACTTATCGAAGCATTACTATCAGTAATTCTAGTTAAGACAACTTTTTCTTTCTGAGTGATGACATGGATAAGTATTGAAGAAGTTAACAAATAAAATATGTGAGGTGGATGGCCTGCAAGGTTTTTCTTATTGATTTCTTTTGAATGTCTCTGTTGCTTCCATGTGTATCTGAAATCTTGATGTCAATAAGGAATCTCTCTGGTGTCAATTGCTTCTTTCTAGCTGCATTCTGGGTGCAAAAATCAGAAAAATGGCTGGTTTTCAGATTTTTAGTGGGCGAAACTTGCTAATAGATTTGCAGAATGTGATGGGCTGCATTTTGAAACTATTTGAAGGCTTGTCATTATCTTATTCTTTCTTTTCAAGGGGAGTTATGCTTTTAAATGGTTTGTACGGGGGCCTGTTTGTTTGAAGTTAAAAACAAGCCCAAGCCCCACAATTGTTGAAGCCCTGTTCTTTATCATAGCATATAATTATTTTCCTCCCAAGGCTGTTAATGTTCCAAATAAAGAGTGGTCCTTCATGAAGACAATCTATGAATTACACCGATCAATAGAAGTTTGATGACGAAGAAGAATGATAGTTGAGAAGTGAAGACAACATGAGAAGAGTTTAATCCTGGAAGAAAGCTGATTTCAAATGTGTTATATGTTTACGAGCATGTCAAGAAATTTCGAGTAATTTGCATCTTTTGAAGTTGCTTGCTTACTTGAATGTAAAGAAAAGGTGAGCCATTTGGATACTTTCTTCTTTCACATAATGAAGTTTTTGCTTTTAAGTGAAATGATAGGTATATTAAGCAAGATATTAATAACACTAAATTTGTTTGCTAACTTTGACTAGTAAGTATTAGTTTTGTTTTCTTAGTGACTTATTTTTGCATTGCCAGTTTCAAACTTCTGATGATGCTCTCTGCTTCTTCTGGCAGGGAACCTCGTGGCTTTGCTTTTGTGCAGTTCGTTGATCCCTATGAAGCTGCAGAGGCTCAATATCAAATGAATGGACAGATTTTTGCTGGTAGGGAGATATCTGTAGTTGTTGCTGCTGAGACTAGAAAAAGGCCTGAAGAGATGCGCAGAAAAGCTAGGACTGGGTAAAAAATATGCCATTTTCTTCTTTCCTGGTGACTCCACAAGTTACTGAGTTTTTGACATATTTTGCACGTTGGCCTTTTTGTAGTGGACCTGTAGGCTATGGGGTACGACGGTCATCTTACTATGGTAAGTTGTGGATCAACATTGACGTATTTCTCTTCTACTAACAAGATTTTCTCCCTTTGATTATATATCTGTAGATTCTTGTAACGGGAGTAAGGCTAGAAATTTAAGAAATGCATAGTGCTTTTGTTTTTTAGGTGTACTTGTTCGATTTTTAGTTGAAATCTAGATTTCTGTAACTTTATTTGCATGTCTGCTGGATCTGCATTTGATTTCTTATGAAAGTAGTATGCTGCATTATAATTAATAAAAAAATTCTCAAAAGTTCAAATCCTGAAGTGATACAAGTTTGTCTTGCTTGCTTTGTTTGAGTGGAGACTTAAAAGGAGTTTCTAGATAGTATTTGTCTTCCTCACTGTTCAGTGAGTCAGATTTCTGGTTAGTCTCTGAAGGGGTTGCATATATATATATATATATATATATATATATACAGTTCTCCATATCTTGTAAAAAAGGTGTGGGTGATGGTGGTCAGTACTTGAAGGCTAAAAGGTTTATGCTTTGTGAAAGCTTAAAAATTAAATGCATGAAGAAGCAATGAATCTTTCACTTAAGCCAAACAGTACTGTTCCCCACAGCTAACATGGACTATAGGAGATGTGTTGGTACTTTTGTGCTTCTTTGACAAACAGGATAACTGAATAGCTTATAGCAATCTCCTGGATATCACTAAGATAGCAGTAAATTTACATAATAACTCTGCATATTGCGTTTTTCCTTGATTTGAGAGATTCACTGCAAGTTCATCATTTTAACAAAGTAACATTCTCAGAATTTCATTGACAAACTGTTGCAAAAGTTTTGACAAGTTTCTGTATGATCTGAACTGCATTTTATCCAAACGACTGATTTCTTAACATTTTATTTCGGAAGTCTCCAAGCGTTAAAATGAATTCAAGAGTTCATCTGCTCCAAGGTTATTATATTCTATAAATATATGTTCTGCAGAGGGAAACCTAATAAAAAGAATGATGAAGAGATACATTTTTAAACTTGGTAGATTGTGGCTGCTGATATTGTCTTTCTGTTGGTAAAATCTATTATACAGCTTCCAGAAGTGCTCAGTAGTTAATCATTTCATGTAGTGCACTTTTTCAGAAATGAGGAAGATGCAACAGATTAGTCTACAAATTAAAATCTTGAGGCGTGAATTGGACCATCAAAGAAGGAAGATGCATCTTGCAGAGCAAGGAAATGAAAGGCTGATGGGAGACTTGGTGCATATACAGAAAGAATTGAATCATCAAATAAAGGATAGAGAAAAGAGCCAAGCTGAGCTTGAACACAAAACTTTACGCATTGAGAAGGAACAAGTAAGCATCTTGAACACACAGACATACACACCTACAAAAAAGTGTGTTTGTGTGTGAGTGTGTGATTTTTTTCCTTTTTTGTGCACATGTCTCTATGTGTAGTATAATTCCTTTTTTCCTTCTGTGACTTTTAAATTATACTGTACTATTGTAACTTATGAAATCCATTGCAATAATTCCTTGTGTGACTTTTAAATCCTACTCTTGAAATCCATTTGCAAGTTGTTGGAAGGAGGTGAGGGAAGATCACTGTAAAGTTGCATGTCACTATGAGGAGCCTTTATTCTTTGCCCATATGGGCAACTCTAATTTGTGAAGAAATGGTTTTCATAACTGTTCTCTGATTTCAATAGATTGGTTACATGCAGCTTTAAGTAGCTAATAACACGTGTCTTTCGAAACTGTCTACAATCTTTTGACTGCTTCTTATTTGGCATTCTCTTAGTTTGGCTATGTCCTATTAGCCCAGAATTGCTAGGATGGGAATATATAAAATCTTCTGCTTGCTTTAGGTACTGGGAGCTCTGTTTACATGCAAGCTCATGATATCTTATGCAGGACCTTTCAAATTATTTCAATGCCAAAACTTGTTCTCTTGGCATTTACATGATTTAACTGAGACTAAAACCAGCCATTGTTGAAGAGTTTTTTTTGTTGGGTCCCAGATATAACTTTATTTTTTAATTCCAGTTTTTTTATTTTTCATTAAACTAGAATCCCACTATTTTTTTGACACAGCTGATAGCTCAGATTGACGTACTGAAAAAGACATTGGCTGAAAAGGATGATGAGCTTCAGGATATGGAAGCTCTAAACCAGACACTAATACTTAAAGAGCGATCAAGTAACCTTGAGTTACAGGATGCACGAAAAGAATTGACAAGTGTGAGAATTAGTAGTTCAACACATTCATGGCTGTCCTTGCTTATCTAATTAGATTTTATTACTCTTACAGCTTTCCAATACCATCCTTTGGGTTCAGAATACTAAAAATTTTTGGTTACTGAAAAACTCTTATTCCAAATGAATTTCTGAAAATTCTTTTCTATTTCCATAAAGAACCTCATTTCTTGGTATCCAAATAGTACATGTGTTAGAAAAATGGAGGATCTATTCTCTTTTTTTTTTCCAAAAAATTATCTTGGAGATTGTGTAATGCTTACTCTCAAACTCTTCGTTTACACAGTAGTGATATTTTTTGTTTCTCTCTTCATCTTTGGATTCCTATCTAATGATCCCGGGCGTAATCCTGGGCTATAAGATTGTTCTGGTCGTATTGTACAGGTTTTGTCAAATTTAGTGGATAGAACCACAATTGGAGTTAAAAGGATGGGAGAGATTGACCAAAAACCTTTTCAAGACGTTTGTGCAAAGAAGTTTTCTCGCTCAGACTGGGAGGTTAGATCAGTGGAATCAATCTCATTGTGGCAAGAAAAAGTAAGCAACCCAAGCTGGCAACCATTCAAGAACACCTTAAAAGATGGAAAGTGGCAGGTAGAGTCTTTTCAAAAAATATTGTCTGTTCGTGAATACAAAGGTAGCGCCACAATAATTCTGTGTACTTGCTGTAGCCAGTCTTCTCTATGGAAGTCACAGTTTCATCAACAATATAATGGTTTTCTCGTGCTAAAATATGATACCTCTTTTTATTACAAGTGATCCGCTTGCCTCAAAATGGCAATACTCTTTGGTATGAGGAAGTTGTTTTCTTGTAAAATTGACTTGTATGTGATCTGGGTCATTCAATGTTTAAACATGATACAGGAAATTATTGATGAAGATGATGGGGAGTTAAAACGACTGAGACATGATTGGGGCGAGGATGCATACACCGCCGTTGTCAATGCATTGCTGGAACTAAACGAGTACAACCCCAGTGGGCGGTATGTAGTTCAAGAACTTTGGAACTTTAAGGAGGGAAGAAAGGCCAGTTTGCAGGAGGTGATACAGTGCATGGCTCAGGAGTTGAAGAATACTGAGGCTTACAAGCGTAGGATGTGATTGAACGTCGATAGATTCCTGCACTTGGTTTTGCTTTGGCATGTAAATTATTGTCTGCTTTTCAACAATGTACTTTATTGCTCTCATTATGGAATGGTTTGATAAGATTTCGAAATGGGATCCAACCTCGACTCTTTCTACACGTAAATTTGCTTGAAATGGGAAGGGGAGGTCCTGAGAGTTGAATAATTGATGTTCCTATCACTTGACTAATATTCTTAGCCAAAAGAGTGGAACTAATGATTTCACAAGCACCTACCAACATTCCTATGGATTAAGTTAGCTCTTAGATACTCGTGGAGATGTAAATGAGTTTAAATAAGTTGCACGCTCGTACTCAATTTTAATTATTTTGACGGGTTCGAAATTTTGGTCAAATTTGACTCATTTACTTGTCAAATGAACTTCAAACAAGTTTTATAAAGATAAAATTGAATAGTTTGAATTTTTTACATATAAATTTCGTTTTTGTGCTAATCAAATTAAGATCAAGTCAAATTTGAAAATTTATTAAACACAAAATGCTGTTCAAATTTGGTGTAATCAATTAGTGAACCAATTTTAAATAAAATTTGATTGTAGTATCAAGGAGTTGATTCATATTTCAATCTTAAATACTCCATATTCGTCAATCAAGATGAGTGTCATCAAATGGGTGCACCACACACCCGTATGGATTTAGGACAAACCTCATATTGAGGCACATTGATGAGAGACAAGATTTGAACTCTCAATCTCCCACCCCACAATTAATGTGATGGCCAACTCCTCTAGGGAGAGTTGGTTCAGACATCTTTCATTTGCTATAACACATTTTACTTCAGGACAGCAAGAATTGCAAGTATAAAAAGCACCAAAAGCCAAGTAAGCTTTAAAAAAGAGCATCAAAAAAAGACTTTGAATTGTCAAGACTCATGACATGAGATGAGAGTGGGAATAAGAAAGGTACAGCAGTTGGCCTTGGCCCTTTGGAACCTGGTACAAGTTTTACAGCACTCATCAACACCATTAATCTTAGGATCCCCACTTCAGTTTTAAGAAAAGTTTAACATGTATCACTTCAAAAAGGAATCTTGCTCCTCATTTATCAAATATGAATGGATTAATTGTTGGACTATTATATTAACACCCAACCAAAAAATAAAATAAAAAATTCAGAACTCCATGTCCGGGCAATTGAACGAACAATTTCTGAATGTCGAAGAACTAAGGTAACTAATGCTGCTTTTCTTCGTTGGCCTCTGCTGACGAGTTCTACAATTTAGTTAATCGTCCGCTTTGATCACCGTTCTTTTCAGCTTAGAATTTTGTGTTTTCTATATACTTCATGTTTCTTGGTTGATTGGCGTTAGCAAAAGCAGATCAACGTTCAAATGGATTGCATTGGTGAGGAGGTGTTCAAAAAACGGCGAAGACTCTGCATTGCTCTGGCAAGGGAGATTGACAACAAGAATGAAAAGTTGCTGGAGATGGAGCGTACAATGAAAGAGAAGGACATCCTGCTTAAAGAAGGTGTGTCTACCACAACATCCTTGCTGCATTATACTACTAGTAGTCTTCACTGCACTGCGCTAGAGCTGGACTTCAACGAGCTAACTTGAGGGACAACTTCTGTTTGATGGTTTGAATGTTCTAAGATGTAAATTATCCATATACCCAAAAAAAAAAAAAAAAACCCGGCATCATCCTGAACTAAGAAATTAGTTGGTTAACAATTAAATGACCATTGAGAAATGTCAAACTGCTCTAAGGGTGAAACTTAACTGGTGCATAGTACTTTTTCTTTTCTTTCTTAGCAAGTGCATACTGCCTAGTTCTGATTGCTTGGTATGCTGATTGCTGAATTTTAAATTTCGATTCAAAATGGCGATTTCACAGCTCTTGAAGCAAAGCAAAGCTTCAAGCTAGAACTTGAAAAGCTGAAGAGCAGGATGGAATTCCAAAAGAAAGAACTTGAGCAGCAAGGCAAGGAAGAATTCAATCACTGTGAGTAAAAAGTTTAACTGCAGCCAGAGTGTAATATATGCTCTTAGCTTATTTCTACAACCATGTTTCTTGTGATTCAGAACAGAATTTTCTTAGCTATATCTTGCAACATATGTCTCTTTAAGAATTTTCTTAGCTAAGATATTTAAGAATTCTTTTACATGTCTACTTGTGTGCTGTAACTAGGGCAAGCAACGGTAGTTGCACAAGGCAGAAAGCAAGAGAACAGTGATATGGGATGTGTAGTGGAATCTCAGAAGATGAACTTAGAGCAAGCAATCAATGAAATCGAGAAATTTGACTCCAAAACTGACCTCAATGGACAGCATACCATGGGTAACAAGGATGAGGTACTGTTTCCGTGTCTCATCTATGCGAATGCACCTGTTTTTCTGTCTTTCTGTCAAATTACCTTAAGGTGGCGACTAGTACAGTCCTCTCTGATACTAAACAATTTTTCATGAGCTGTTGTGAGAATCCAAATGAAAGTAAAGCACACAATGCTGTTGATTATAGACGTCTTAAGGTGTGATTGTGTGAGGAAGAATGTTCATCCATTTTTAAGTTCTTTGACATTTGAAAATGATTATCTGTCATTAAAAAGCATTCTCTTTGATGCTCCCAGTCAAATATATTTAGGACCAGTTCATTCGCAATTTATCAGTGCTATTCTTGAATCTTGAGTGTGTCATGCCTTTAGTCCATCTCTCCCTAATCGTTGGATTTCTATAGCTTATGCAATTGAAGGTATATTTGAAAGCCTTGGAAGATAAAGTTTCTGACATGGAAGATGAACATCAAGCTCTCATCACTAAAGAGCGCATGATGAATGATGAACTTCAAGATGCTCGCAAAGAAGCTATAAGAGTATGATCAAGCATCCTTTTCTTGAACTTTAGTATTTTCTTGTGTTCAATTGTTCTGTTTATAAGATCTAAAATATAAGACCTTCCCTTCAACTTCTACAATCTTCCCCACCAGGCTTTGCAGGGCTTGTCCACTCACCACCTCAGAAAGTTCCAAATCAAAAGAATGGGACAGATTGATACAAAACCATTTGAAGCTTTGTTCTCAAATAAGTGCTCTAGTGAAGACTGGAACGCAGAAGCTATAAAACTATGTTCACTGTGGGAAGAAAATGTGCGAAGTGCAAACTGGCATCCTTTTAAGAGAGTTGAAAACCGTGGAAGATTGATTGTAAGCCTCTCTGAACACTTTTTAACTTGCACAAAAAGTATCTGATTCCAAAAGTTTTATCGTTCATACGTTTATGAAATGCAATCAACCTTGTCATACTTCCAAAATGGATAATGGATGGTCTTTTTGCGATATCGCAGTTTCTGATTGCTGGGGGGCGGGGGCCATAGGTAATTTGACTATTCGTCATAGTGGAAGCTACTTATATTTGTCGAAAGGAGGAAAACACGAGCAGATTTAATTTGAGATTACGCATCATAATTTAGCAAATACCCAAGTAAAACACATACTGTTGGATCTGTTCCCTGAATTTGAGTTTCTAATGAGTGCAGGAAATTATAGATGACAATGATGAAAAGCTGAAAGAGCTAAGGAGTGAATATGGGGAAGATGTCTTCAAGGCCGTAGCAAATGCACTGATGGAATTGAACGAGTACAATCCCAGTGGAAGATATCCAGTTTCTGAATTGTGGGACTGTCAGAAAGGAAGAAAAGCTAGCTTGAAGGAGATCATTGAGTACATTTCGAACAAACTGAAGACACTACAACCCAAAAGGAAGAGATCGTGACTTTTCCATGATCCACCGTCCCGTTCCAAGCAGTAATCTCCTTTAGTTTACTAATCCTATAACGTCTTATGTTCCCATAACGTCCAGCATCACATAGTTTACGTGCCAAAGATCATGACAATTAAATTTGCCTTACATGTTGTGTTTTCGTCTTATTCCTTTGGATTGATTTCCTCTGTTTTCAATTATAATTAACAGCAAAAGATGTGATGGGTAGTAAAAGATTTCAACTCATCTTTCACCCAAAGAACTGTCTGGTACAAATCATGTCAATTGTAGCCCGCTTCTCGTATGGAGACAAACAGAGTGCTTCAGTAGATTTAGTCTAATGTAACCTAAATATCAAACTTGATTCATTGTACTACCATAGGATATATTTGCAGAAAGAACGTAGGATCACATCTTACATGCCAATGATTAGCGTAGTCGCATCACTTGTTCTCGATTCATTATTTTTCACTGATTATAGATTCTGATTTTGAATGATCACTTTTTTGTGATATTCGGGATTTTTTTATTATATTTTTTTAATGACAAGAAAAAACTAAAATATATAATCAATCAAAAAAAAGCTCTTTTTAATTTTAATTACTCTCCATAATCAATTTATATAATCAGATTTTGTAAAATTTAAAGCTATCGAAAACAAGGTCGTAATCACACTATGATTAGGTTCTATTATTAGGCATGTCAACGGGTTGGGTTTGGACCTAGACCCTGACCCCAACCTGGATCTGATAATTTTTTCAAGTTTGGGTTGAAAAATAATTCCAATATTCGGATCTGGACTTGTTTACTCTTACAAAGAAATGGGTCGGATATGAAATATAAAATTTTGACCCTGCATCCGACCCAGACTCGAATAATATATTAATAATTATAAAATATAAATATTTCTAAATATATTCTTTTACCAAATTAACAATTTAGTAATGATTTTGTAGATTGATTTGTGATTAATTTTGGATTGATTATTGAGAATTATTTGTGATTTAGTTTTGTAATTTGATTTGTTTAAATTTAGAGATTGGATATGTGATTGATTTTAGATTTAATTTTGAAATGTTTAATTTGAACATTTTCTTTTTGGGTAGATCCGGATCCGACTTGAAACTCGTTGAACCCGATTTCAGAACTCTAAAGTCAAGACTCGTCGGATATACAAGTCGGGTCTAGATCTACTACATAAAACGGGTCTGGATCAGGAATTTTCAATTCTGGCCTGAGCCCCGACCCGTTGGCATCCCTAGGCTTTTTGACAAGCACAATTGTTGTGTTAACCTCATTGATGGCTCCGTTTTTTGCTTATTTGGGCCTGGTCTAGTTTGAGAATTGGGCCTTATCAAAGGGAGTCGAACTTGCAAATGCATCCATAAAGCATGTCTAAATAGAGCAAGTCTAGAAAGACTTAGAATTATTGGGTTTAAACTCGAACCAAGGAACCCTAATGTCCCCAATATAAATATCTGAATCAGCACAAATTTTCGTGCTACCGTCTATTTTTCTGGGGCTTGAACTCGCGACCTTCTGGAATCCTTCTCGCGTGTAGAGGAAAAATCGAGAAAAACAGGGGTTTCGATTTTGATTAAACATAATTGGTTCTGATGTATTCTTGAAATTTGGGATGGATTGGTGGGCTATGATTGAAAAGAGAGAGGCCTAGAGTGTGGGGATTTTTCTCTGCTACGGCAGAGAAAAGCTCGAATTGGCCGGGAGAATGTTGTTGAGGAGAAGAGGAGGAAAGGGATTAAAGACTTGTGGGAAGGGTGAAGTTGCCGCCTAATGATGGCTTTGGCAGCTTAAAATCACTCAAACTCAAGTTGATAATATTGTCTTTTGATTTCTTCTTCTCTCTTGCTTACATCTCCTGTCAATTTGAGAATTTTCCCCCACGAAGACAGACCTGCTAAAATTTACACTTGATATGAGCCTACCAACATCAGCAGAATAAGTGGTCTTCTTCTTCTTCTTCTTCTTCTTCTTCATTTGATCCATTGATTTGCTCTTTTGTTTCTGATATTGGGGTTGGGTGGTGGTGTTCCACACATTCAATTGCATTTCGCTTAAAAGCGGAAAACAAAAGCAATTAAATACAGTAGGAATTTTAATCTAAGCAATTCTTAGCCATTACTTCTTGTTGCCAATGCGGACGTTCAATGGTGGGTGCTTCACTGCAAGAATGCTGCACTCCAAAGTTTTTTTTATTTGATCAGATTATTTGGATGAATCAATGGACCATAGTTTGTGGATTATGAACTTTTATTGTTGTTTCTTCTTTAAAAAAAAATAAGCAAAAAATAAAACAATTAAGCATGAGATTTTTTTGTAACGATAAAAGCATTTCGTTAATGGAATAGAAAGTAGAAATTACATAATACAAGCAACTGCTCCCAGGTCTTCCTTGCCTGACTAGGTAGCCGAAGTGGGAAGGAATTATGAATCTTTCCATAAAATTTCTTTACACATGTTGCTGGCAAATTTCACCAAATTGGGACGCACACAGTTGTCCTTTTCCCCGGTAAAGTTTGGATAGTAAATTATTTGAAATAATTTTATGTAAAAATATTGTATCATTTTTTTGATGTAATGAATGTAAGATAAAATATGATGTATGTAAGATAAAAAAGATCCCACTTCAGGGCATCCACCAGAGTTCGACCCTTGCAACAAAGATGGGGAATAACACAACAATCCAAATAAGAGTTGGAGTCTGAAGTGGGATCAGGTCCTTTTTTTTTTATAAAAAAAATGTAAAATAAAAAAAATGATTGAAAAATATATTGACGATACAAATGTGTAATCCAAACACACTACAACCAGCATCTCATCTGTTTGATGTGTTGTGATCCAAACACACTACAACCAGCATCTCATCTGTTTGATGTGTTGTGATGTGGTTTCAATCCGGGCATTGGTAGTGCTATTTGAACAATTTTGGTCAATAACACCTATGCAATCCGACTGGATTCCAATTCTTCTCCAGTTTTGCCCCTTGGCCTTGACAAGTGCTTAATCTGATTGCCATTGCTTCCTCAACTTTTGAATCACTATATCTGGTTTCAGGGTCTGACTAGGTTGCAATCAATTTCCCATCATGTCCTCTAGCCAAAATGCCTCATCATCCCACCTTCTTGTTCGTTCCTGTGCTCTAGAGCAGCATCAGCGTTCAGCAGAATGGTAACTTCCACTGGTGGATGTTCTGATTAGAGTGGATACCAGGTTCTCCTGGTTTTTTGTTTTTCATTGCGAACGCTGTTTTACGTTTTTTTCCTGCAGGACATGAGCGTAAACTGAGTAAGAAGCGCACTTGGGTCGTTGAAAATTTCATTGATCCTCCGCTTTCCACGGACTAAAACTAAAGTCCCCATCGCACCAAATTTGTTTTTATCTTATAGTCAAAGGGGTTTAGTTCTATTTGAACCGTTCTAAACTGAGTAAGAAGCCCTTGACAACACAAGGTTGCAATTGGATCGTTGTAATACATTTTTTCTACAAAAAAATTTCCAAAACTCCAATTTTAATCGGACTCTAAATGTTTTAGGTTAATTTCAATTAAATTACTTCCACCATACGAAAATATGTAAATGATGCTGAGGAGTAGCAATTGAGGCTGTCAACTAAAAGCTTCTATATTTCTGCCTGATTCCAATTATTTTTGAAAAATTTTTTGGCTCCAAAACTTATACTCCCTTCGTCCCACTTTGATAGTCATGTTTTCCTTTTTCATCTGTCCCAAATTGTAGTCCACTTTCTAATTGAAAAATGTGGTTGTATTTTAATTTTCCTAAAATGCCATTATTCAATGTAAATTGTTGTTATTATAAACCTAACCCATTTAATGAGAATTGATTCTTTTTTTACCATCAATTAAAGTTCCCATAAAGTTGTACTCTATTTAATGTGAGGGTATTTTAGGAAAATAGCAATCTAAATTTACTTTTCCAACAAAGTTAATTACTTTTTCTTAAACGATGTGAAAAAGAAACGGGACTATCGAAATGGGACGAGGGAGTATATTCTTTGTTCAGAACGACAATGCGCGTGCAGCGTATTGGTCATAAATTTGCAGTTCCCAATACACAACATATTGCAAATGCGTAATTGTAACACACCATGATTGCATTACCAACATCAAAATAAGCTAGTAGAGTATTTCTTGTATAGATACTAGTAACAAGCTGCGGGCTGCATTATTTTGCTTGCAGCCACTTCAAGCTCTTACAATTGCCTGGCCACTTACCTTTTTTCACTCAAAATTTCCCCCTTTTAGGATCAAAACATGACCTCTGTCCCCCCGGCTCCCCCTCCGGCCCTTCTCTTAGATAGTCAAAAAGGTGTAGACAAAGCAGACAGACACACTCCTAAATTTTCTCCAATTACCCCCTCTCTTTTTCCCTTTTCCCACTCAACACTCAAAATGACTACTCAATTCTACATTTTTTTTTTCTTTTTCATATTTCCAAACCCAAATTAAAATATATATATATATATAAAACAAGAAATAAAGCCCATAAAAACTCAAAACAGGCCGGAATTAATTTTTGTTGTTGTTCATATAAAATAACTTCAGCTTCAAACTCGGAAATTTTTTCCGGTGAAGGTTTGACCAAATTGCCAATTAGCGGGTGCAATGTTCCATGAAGTGGAAGAGCGACGGTCACTTGCTCTGATCCTGAAAGAGAGCGATTGACCAGCCAACACCGCGTTGGTCTGCCAGTTCTGGCCCCAATTCCGGCTCAGGGTTATCCAACCGGTCTTGGATCCTTTGACCGATGCCTGCACGATATCTCCTGCACCCGCGACGTTGGTGATCAAAACCAAGTTGAAGTAACGGAAACCGTTAATTTGGAACCGGATCCCTCCTTGCTTGCGGCACGGCACCCTGCGGCAATTGGCAAATCAGTATTTGAATATAAAGCGCAAGGGCAAACCAGGAAAGGCAGAAAAAGTTGGGGTGCATGTAAGTCTACGCTGTTATCATGATCTCGATTCGCATGGACATACGCGGTTTCTTAGTTCGGGGTCCACACTGTAGATAACTTTTGTGATTAGAAGCCTGTGGTGTAGGGCGCAGACGGGGACTAGGTAACATGCAATTGGGGGCGATCTCAAAAGTCTATTATGATTCTCTGATTATTTCCATGAACGGCCGTGATGCGCAAGTACATACAAAGACGGTGGATATCGTTCTTTTAAAGGTTTGGACA